GTTCTTTATTAGTTTTCTGTTATCAAGGTATCATCTTGATTGGTTCTGATTTTAATGTTGCTAAGCAACTTAACTATTCCAAATTATGTATGTGGACTTTCCAGGGTATGAACTCTCCTGGATACTGGCCTTTGAGTGTTCTTATTCTACTTAGGTCTAGTAGGTCTCTTTTGCTTTCTCAAGTTCACATACCGGCAGCAATTACAACGGTTTGATGGCCTAGAAAATTTTAACTGTTTAGCCAAGGCTTGGCATTGTTTTGAGGCATTGCTGTGGGCTGACCTATGGTCCCTCTAATCAGGATATGTCCTGAGTGAGGCTATGCAATTGCCTGCATTCAAATGGTGTTCCCCGAGCTCTGTCAGCCTGGTAAGGGTATCCATTTCCATCGGAACACCCTGTAACACATGCTCCATTTGCCGCATTTTCCAATGATAAAACCAGGTGAAGTGCCTGTCTGAGGTCCAGTTGGGCTTCAGCTAACAGGTGTTTCTGCATGGCTGTATCACTAATCTTGCATACCAGATGGTCTTTCAGCATCTCAATAAGGATTAAACCAAATTCATAGGCTTCTGTCAGTCATCTTAACCTAGTGAAAAAAACACCAGTATGGACTCATCTAGATCTTGAATTGCTAAGTAAAAGCAATGGTGTCTCAGATTTAGAGGAAGTTTGGGGTCATAATATTCCTTAATTATGTCTGTCAATTCTTGAAAGGTATTAGTATCTGGTGTCTCAGGGTAAGTTAGGCTCCTAATGACAAAAACTAAGCTGCAGCTCCACAGGCTGCCAGAATTACTCGTTTTTCATCTGCCACAATGTTAATTGCCTGGGAAAAAAAACACACACACTGGCAGGTGCTTGATAGCACGTGAACAAGTCAGGCTTCCCAAACAAAGGTATGATGTGAGAAATGCTTACCCCAACTCAAAGATGACTGTTGCGAGCAAGTTTCTTCAGGATCATGCTTTACTCTTGTTGCCACTGAAATAAGTCCACAGAGGCCCCTATCCTGTCACCAAGTCACCCTTTCTTTACACATAAAGGCACCAGAGTGTCAGTATCTCTGACTCTTACCCTTTTTATCTGTCAGCCAGTGCTCCCTGATTAGATCAGATTAACAGCCCCTTTCAAGGAACTCATTTTCTCAAAGGTCCACCTGGCTGACCTTGTTACAATAACTACTGGTAATTCTTGAAGGAGAAAAAGATAAAAGGTCTGAACTGTTCAAGATGGCTTTCAGCCAGCATCCTGGAACATGTAGGTAGGTGTAACAAAACAGAGGCAGTTGTCACTGGGATCTTTGTAGACATGTTTCATTCAAGAAATATTCAGAAGCTTTTCAAGAGAACAATTAGATTAGTCTTTTAGTGATTACATTTGATCTGTAACAGGATTGTCTCTGAAAAGCAGAGGATGAAGTGGGCAGCTGCTCTCAGCAGACTATCTCAACTACAGGCATGTGATTTACATTAAATATGTCCAAGTGATTAGCTTAAGCCATATGACTTCCAAGAAAGGTCTCTTTAAAACAAAAGTTCCAATGAGTCCTCTTAGTGACACCTTCAAAAAAAAAGTACAGGTATCTCCTCAGTCTTTTCAAACAAACCACAGTCTACAATATTTTAAATATGAACCCTCAAACAAAGTATTAATAATAGATCATGTTCATAATGATGGTAATAGTAGAATGAAGGATACATTAGGTCATGAGGTTACAGGCTGTGCTTGAACACAATTCTGCTGATGGCCAATATCACCCCATGGATGACAAGTTTCTTACATTCTTCATTTAAGCAGGGTTGATTCCCTAACTTGATGACAATGGTAGAGTGAAAGATATGCTGAGTCACAAAACTACAGATTATGATTGAACACAATTCTGCACATACCCAATAGTGTCTTAATTATTTGCCATACAAATACAGCGGCTACAAGAGCAGGTCAGAGTTTAGGAATAATCCAAAGGCTTCTACCTGTACCATTCACATCCACAAGCAGTTCATCTTCCACTACTTGAACAAAGCAGCAGTGTGAACATAATTCACAATAAGTTTCAGTAAATCACTTTTTCTTCCCCCCAAGCACAACAATTCCTTCCACAATCCTCTGCTGTAAAACAGTCCCTTTTCCATTTCAGTTCTCAATCAAAAAAACAGAAATCAAGAATACATTGTCTGTAACTCAGCCATTACACCTCAAACAATTCAGTGTGCAAGATGCTTTGAGATATAACACAAAAATGAAGATATTTACAAAATAAAACTGTTCAAACTACACAACCGACAGCATCGATTACAATCACATCCATTATATCTCCCCATGTAGCACTTGCTGAACTGCTGCAGCTTTAATTGAGAGACTTCACGTTAATTTGCAAAGAATGCATTACCTCATTTTTCCTTTTCTTTTTTAAGTTAGCATCCCATTGTTGAAAAATTTTAAACTGTTTTCCCTTCTCTGCTACCCATCCCTCCCCTTTCAGACCTTTTCCACCCATTGCAGACCCTCCTTAACCCTACTCATGCTCTTCTCTCCACTCCTCACCATCACCCAACTGTGAGGTCTTGCCTCCCACTCCCCCACCCATCCCCACTGACAGCTGTCACTCACCCCACTCATCCAATTACAGACTGGTTCTGTCCTGTGTTTCCTAGGTTTACTGATAAACCTGTCAGAAGGAAACGTATACCTGTAATTGGAGAAGCAGCTTGAAGTAACTCCACAGAAGCTGGTATCCTGTCATCCCTTATTTACACATGGAGAGTCCTTGACACTGAGCCAGCTCTCAGAGTGAGCAGAACCTCTGACACTCCAATTTATATCTGTCAGCCAGGGCTCCCTGATTAGACCAGATTAACAGGCCCATGAGATCAGAGATCCACTTAGCTGACCTCGTTACAATCACTCCACAGCTCCTTACCAATGCCATCCATTCTATTCATAGGGACTACTTTTCTCTGATTTGATCCCCCTGTGAGTGAATGTTTTTGAGTAATCTGGAGATTTCGGTAGTGGATTCCACCCATGAATTTTGGGTGTTAACTGGGACTACCATTCAATTTCAATTTCGCAATGGAATTTAAATTCCACCAGCTGCTGTGGTAGAACTTGAATCGATCTCCCCAGAGCATTAGCCTCTGCCTCTGGATTAAATTAGGAGGCTTCATTGGTTTTTGGGGGAAAAAAACATTCACAAGCTATAAATGTTATCCTTCTACTTTGTGAGAAATGTAACCAAATACACACCTGACATTGTCAAATTAAAGGGTCCTCACATATACATGAATACACACAAGTACGCAGGCTCACACAGGGACGCATACATTTGACTTCAGTCCATATTAAGGCTGATTCTCCAGTGCTGTATTGTCTTTCAGATAGAACAAAGAACAATACAGCACAGGAACAGCCCCTTTGGCCCTCTAAGCCTGCATTGTCACGTTTTGCCCTTCCATACTAAAACTGTCCTCACTTACAGGATCTGTATCCCTCTATTCCCTTCCTGTTCATGTATTCATCCAGGTGCTTCTTGAATGCTACTATTGTGTCTACTTCTACCATCTCCTCTGGCAGTGCGTTCCAGGCACTCACTACCCTTTTTATGAAAAACCTGCCTCGCACATCTCTTTTAAACATCCCCCCCCCTCCCACCTTTGAACCTTTGTCCCCGTAATTGACCCCTCCACCCTTTGGAAAAGCCTCACACTTTCCACTCTGCCCATGCCATTCACAATCTTATAAACTTCTATTGGGTCGCCCCTCAACCTCCTGTGTTCCAGTGAAAATAAACCCAGTCTATCCAAACTTTCTTCATAGCTAAAATACCCCATACCAGGAAACATCCTGGTGAACCTTTTCTGTACTGTCTCCAAAGCATCCACACCCTTCTGGTAGTGTGGTGACCAGAACTGTACACAATATTCCAAGTGTGACCTAACTAAAGTTCTACAAAGCTGCAGCATAACTTGTCCATCCTTATACTCAATGCCCCTTCCAATAAAGGCAAGCATGCCATAGGCCTTTTTTACTACCTTATCTACTTGTGCTGCCACCTTCAGTGATCTGTGGATCTGCACACCCAGGTCCCTCTGCATATCAATATTCCTAACGGTTCTGCCATTCACTGTATAATTTCCACCTGTACTTGATCTTCCAAAATGCATCACCGCACACATGTCTGGATTAAACTCCATCTGCCATTTTTCTGCCCATGCCTCCAACCGATCTATATTCTGCTGTATCCTCTGGCAATCCTCCTCACTATCTGCAACTCCACCAATCTTTGTATCATCCGCAAACTTACTAATTAGACCAGCTATGTTTTCCTCCAAATCATTTATGTAGATTATGAACAGCAGAGGTCCCAGCACTGATCCCTGTGGAGCACCACTAGTCACAGCCCTTCATTCCAAAAAGCATCCTTCCACCTCTACTCTCTGTCTCCTATGACTAAGCCAGTTCTGCATCCATCTTGCCAGCTCACCCTTGATACCATGTGACTTCATCTTTTGTGCTAGTCTGCCATGAGGGACCTTGTCAAAGGCTTTACTGAAGTCCATGCAGACAACATCAACCACTTTTCGCTCATCGATCATCTTTGTTACCTCCTCAAAAAAACTCAATCGAATTAGTGAGGCACGACCTCCCCGACACAAAACCATGCTGTCTATTGCTAATAAGTCCATTTGCTTCTAAATGCGCATAGATACTGCTTGTTCCAGTGGTTCAGAAGAATGTTAAAAGAACCCTAGCACCATTTCAGTTGGTTGTTTTTGGATAATATTCTTAACTTAACCAATACCACTTACAATTGGGTTAACCAGTAATTCAGTATATGGCTGTTTGGGGTGAGGGGGATACTGCTCCATAACAGTCACTAGATTTGTAAAATCATTAACTATGCAAATATTTAAGATATAAAAGGTTAAATACTCTAACAGAAGTCATTCACGACAACATTCCACGAAAAGGAACAGAAAAGTGAATCAAAAACTAGCCTGGTAGGAATTGGAACCTCAGTAAGTCCTGTGAGAAGAATAGCTGGAGAAAGACGCACAAAAGCTACAATTGGTCTTTTTAGGAAGTCTAACTCGCCAACCAAGACATTAGAGGCTTCAGCTCCGGTAGGTATCTTCTTCATGAAGTGGAGGTCAACCTGCCAAAAAAAATGTGGTTATTCAGAAATGTTTCTCAGCAAGAGCTGGAAACTAAACCATCTGGATTTGAAACTGAATTCCAGAAGTAAAAGGATAGAGACCCAACCTGAACTAAACCCCTTTGCAAGAATGGTCAGCTCTAATGGCTCAGGGCCCAAATGCTGCATTCATTATTTAACAAGTAGTGATTCATTGAAGCAAGATACAATTGGCCTCCTCAAAACAAAATAAATCTGTCAAGGCTCCAAATATCCAATGACAAGTGTTGGAAACTGCACAGAGGAGTCGGAACTCTAACTAACTAATACTTCCATTTGTAAAGGATATTTATAGAAGACTGCTTATTAAACACGTAAATCCAAGGTCAATCTACTCTGTGATCAGTTTCAGATAGGCTTTCTTATTTTGTCAAATTCATAATATAAAGTAAGGTCCTTTCGTCTTACAAGTCAGATTCATTAGAATTCCTCAATTTGCTAACGTGTCACCTCTTCAACATATTTCAAAATTCTTGCCGATGGAAACAAAAACAATCACTATTTCACTCCTCTGACACAGGTATGGATCACTTGGAGTTACAGAAATTATTCTTTCTCTGGATACAAGATAACTAATATTTCCATTTGTAAAGGATATTTATAGGAAACAAACATGGAAGGTTCATTAGAATTGCCAACATCTAAGAATGTATATTGCAATTATTTCATTGAATATTTTTCTGAAAAAAATCATAAATGCAGTTTCAGCATATTCCAGATTCAGTTTGAGACATATTTATCATGCTTCAGACTAAGCACCAATTACAGTCTTTGGAATTTCCTTGATTTGAGATAATCTGCTCTCTCTCCATTGACAGAGCCAAGCAATTGGCAAACTACAGAATTCCCAAATTGGTCTTGCTTTTTTTTGAATGCATTTTCTACTTGACCTGTTCAGGGATGTTATTACAGATCCCTGGAGCAGGTGGGACTTGAACCTGGGTTACCTGGCTCAGAGACAGAGACACTACTACTGTACCACAAGAACTCCAGAATATGCTTTGTTAGATTACTTTCCCAGAGAAGTACCTGAACAATAATAATGCCATTTAGCTGCTAACCTGGAAATTGTGCTCCAGAGCTGAAATTTAGTGAGAAGATACATCAGTTTGGACTTTCTTGTATTAAAAAGAAGGATTGAGAGAGAGGTTGGACTTCCAACCTGCTTAGCAAAGAAAAAATGTGATTAAATGGGTCATAAGGACAATATGGTATAGATTTATAATTTTCCACCAAATGTAACCCTGATCCCAGCCAAAAAAGTGGAGAAGGATACAAATTCGAATTGAGGTATTTTCTTTCGCAATGCAAAAAGGAACACTGGACAATAAAGCACATCCTTACCCATCAGTTTGAGCCAATTAAAGAGGTGGACATTGGCCTGAGAAAAGGTAATCTTTGTCATGGTCTCACACAGAATTATGTGAAAACGTTTTTCTTTGTGCAAAAATCAGGTTAATGCTAGTTAGTACTGTTCTTTTACCAGAAAGAAAGTGTCTTGTGTATTGACTTTGAGGAGCCCCTAATCTAGATCTTAGTGCTTTCAGATTTACAGCGTGAAATGCCTAGAAATTACCTTTATTTGGTATAAATTAGGTGTGTCACTCAAAACTCCTACAGAATACTGCTGAGAAGAAATTGAAATGCCATAAGAGTGTTATGGGGGCTTTTCTTTCTGGCATCAGAGACACAGTAAGGTGTAAGGAGTTGTACTTGTCATCAAGCTTGCATTATACTCAACACAGAATGTCATGTGCCAGACTCTAAAGACACCAGCCAAGTTTCCAAACTTACGGAACTTTAATGCTGATATTTCACATTTAAGTTACTAATTTCTTAATGTTTAAAACATTAGATTAGAAAACAGTACTTCATAACCAGAAATAAAACAAAGACTGCAGATGCTGGAAATCTGAAACAAAAGTGAAGTTGCTGGAGAAACTCAGTAGGCCTGGCAGCATCTGTGAAGAGAAAAGCAGAGTTAACAGTTCTGAAGAAGGGTCTCTGGACCCAAAACGTTAACTCTGATTTCCCTCCACAGATGCTGCCAGACCTACTGCGTTTCTCCAGCAATTTCAGTTTTTACTTCATAAACAGACTCCAGTATCCACACACAATGAGGCAGGTTGAGTTTCATTTACTGCGTAGTGAACTTATTAACCCATTCCTGTGAAAAGATTCTCTTTGATGCAGTCATTCACCTGCTTGTTTTAGCTAGGTCATCACATTAAAATACCAACCAAAAGCAGTTTAGATGCATTGGTAACCACTGTTGCCAGAAAATCTGGACTCGAAAAATGAACTCTGTTTCTCTCTTCACAGACACTGTCAGACCCTCAGAATCACTTTATTTGTGTTACAATATTCCAGTTATAGTCTCACTAAGACCTTTTACAATTGCAGAAAGTCCAAATTTTTTGTAATAAAGGCTAATATTTCACTGTTTGCCTAACTGCTTGATGTACCTACATATTAACTTTGTGTGAATCATATACAACAACAACCAGATCCCTCTAAATACCAATATTTCTCAGGCTTTTATCTTTTACAAAATATTCTGTTCTTCTATTTTTCTTAACAATGTTAATAACTTCACATTTCTCCACATTATTTTCCATCGGCTGCACTCTTGCCCACTTACTTAACCTATCTAATCTCTTGCGGTTTCCTTGCAGCCTCCTCACAGCTTACTTTCCCTCTATCTTCATATCAGCAGGAAGCTTTGACATATCACAAGCAGCCTCTCATCTAAGTTATTGATACTAATTGTAATTACCTTAAACCTCAGCACTGATCATTGCAACACTGCATTAATTATAGCTGTAATTGTGAAAATGACTTTTCTGTTAATGAATCCCTCCATGAGTCCTAATTTTGTGTAATAACTTCTTGTGTAGCATTTTATTCAATGCCTTTTGAAAATTAAAATCACTATGTTCACTGTTTCCTTCTCATCTACTCTATTTATTACAGCTTCAATCGAGTTTAAATAGGTTCATTATTTCCTTTTCATAAATATCAAGTGTCAGTAGGGGAACACTTAGGAGACAATGATAATTGATCTCAATGTTTATGACGATGATAGAAAAGGGCAATGAGCAATCCAGAGCAAGAGCTGGGGACAGCGACTTCAATGGGGCAAGAACAGAGCTGGGCTGGATAGACTGAAACAAAAGGTTGATAGCAAAATTGTAGCTGAATAATGGGCTACCTTCAAAGAGGGGATGTTTCAAGAGTGGTTAAGGTATTTTCCCTCAAAAGAGAGGGCAAACAACTCTGGAGCTCCCTGGATGACAAATGAGGTACAAATTAAAGAAATAAATGTGTGCTTAATGACAAGTTTCAGGCAGAAAATAAAATTGAGAACCAAGCTGAATATAGAAATCCCAGAAGGGAGGTGATAAAACATATTAAAGGGTGAAGAGGGATTATGAGAAAAGACTGGTGGCCAAAATAAAAGGCAGTCCCAAAGTTTGCTATATGCACATAAACAGTAAACGGGTGGTAAAATGATTGATAAGAGACAAACAAAGGGAATTTACACATGGAGGCATAGGACATTGCAAATGTTTTAAATGAATACTTTGCACCTGTCTTTACCAAGGAGTGGATACTAGGCTATGGTAGCTAAACAAAGGGCTCAAAATTGTTAAGGAGGAATGTTGTATAGACCGTCAGTACATACAGTTGACGAGGTAGCAGGACCAGATGAGATGAATCCAAGAATATTGGAAGTAGTGAGAGTGTAAATTTCAAGGGCACTGATAATAATCTCTCAATCTTCTGAGGAAGGGTCACCGGACCCGAAATGTTAACTTTTTTCTCCTTCACAGATGCTGCCAGACCTGCTGAACTTTTCCAGCATCTTTGTTTTTGTTCCTGATTTACAGCATCTGCAGTTCTTTTGGTTTTTAATCTTTCAATCTTCCCTGAGTGATGCCAGAAGACTGGAGAATTGCAGACATTATGCCCTTGTTCAAAAACAGAGTGTAAGGATATGTCTAGCAACTCCAGGTCAGTTTAAAACCAGTGTCAGGGAAGTTTCTAGAAGCAAATATTTGGGATAGGATTAATAGTCATATGGAAAAATGTGGATTGATTAGGAAGAGCCAGCATAGATAAAGGGGAAATCGTGTTAACTAATTTGCTGGAATTTTTTGAAGAGGTAACAGAAAGGGTCAATTAGGGAAATGGTGTTGATGTGGTATACATTGATTCCAGAAGGTATTTGATGCAGTGCAACACAACAGACATGTGTTGAAAGTTGTAGGTCACGGGATAAAAAGGACAATAGAAATGTGGATACAAAATTGGCTGACTAGTGAAAAACAGAGTAGTAGTCAATGGATATATTTTGTGCTGGAGAAAGCTTTTGAGTGGAATTCCCCACGGGTTAGTATTGGTACCCTTGCTTTCCCTGATATATAGTCGTGATCAGAGTCGTGGTGTGCAGGAGGCAATTAAGTTTGTGGATGGTATGAAACTTATAAGAATTGTAAACTGAGGGGAGCAAGGTGCAGAGCTTCAAAAAGGACATTGGCAAGTTGGTGGAGTGGGCAGATAGGTAGCAGATGAAGTTTAATGCAGAGAAGTGTAAAGTGATGCACTTTGGTACAGAGAACATTGACAGACAATATAAAATGAGCGGTACTATTCTTAAGGTGGTGCAGAAGCAGAAGAATCTAGGTGTGCACGTGCATAGATGATTGAAGATGGCAGGACAGGCAGAGAAAGCATATAGCAGTAAATAAAATAAGTTATTTATTCATAGAGTATAAGAGCAAAGAGGTTATGCTGAAACTATACAAGCACCAATTAGACTTCACTTGGAGTTTTGTGTGCAGTTCTAACTATCACACTTTAGGAAGAATGTGAACACATTGGAGAATGTGCAGGAGCGGTTTACAAGGTTCTAGGAATGAGGAACTTCAGTTATGATGATGGATTCGAGAGATTGGGATTGTTCTCCTTGGAAAGAAAAAGGATAACATAAGGTCTGATAGAAGTTTTAAAAATCACAAAGGCTGAATAGAGTAGACAGTGAGAAACTGTTTCCGTTTAAAACAACTGGGTACGAGAAGGCACAGATTTAGAGTGATTTACAAAAATAGCAAATGTGACATGGGAGAAAACACTTGTGCAGATGAGTGGTTCAGGTCTGGAAAGCACTGCCTGTAGTATGGTGGAGGCAGGTTCATCTGAGGCATTCAAGAGGGCAATAAATTATTATTTGAATAGAATCAATGTGAAAAGGTATTGGAAAAGGCAGGAGAATGGCATGAAGTCATAATACTCATTTGGAGTGCTGCTGCAGATGTGATATGCCAAATGGTCTCCATCTGCACCATATCGCTTCTGTGATTCTGTGAAATGAGAGTCAACTCTGCCAATAAAATTATAATTTAAAGTGCTTAAATGTTACATTCTAGCAGTGTCCCTAATTCTGATGACATTCCAGCTGGTCTACAGTTTCCAGCTTACTTTCTTCTTTCTTGAATAGCTAAGTTATGTTTGCTGCCTTCCAATTCCAAGGCTTTTTCAAAATTCTAGGAAATTCAACACTTTTCCCAACAGCCCAGCTAATACTACAAAGTTGCAAAGGACCCCATACTCAACTGCTCTGTGGTATACTACTGGACCTCCTTAGGAAAAAAAAATCATAACTTTAGAGTTAGAACTTTGTGTGGCTTGATCATAATGCACAAAAGGATATTTCTGAACTGCAGGCATCATATAACATGATAAACCAAAGTGATCATTTTACCTTGCCTGACTCAAAATTTACGTTGTCTTGGTTGACTCCATTTTTAGCTTCAAGATGAGTCGGAAGAGATTGTGGGGACAGCATTTGACCTGAGGAGGACAACAAAAATGAGCAACTTGGAGAGAAAAGAATATTTGGATGGCAAGAGAAATGGAATTGGAATGAATTTCTATTTTTCAAAAATCCCAACTCAAACTTATGGCAGAATCCTTTCCTTTTTTTGATAGAATGATTCTTGCCATGAGGTCAAGCAAGTTTCTTCACCATATCTTACCAAACTCATCGTGTTAATTGCCGTTTGAGCCCTCACAGGTATCAGACAGCCTGGAATTGATAAGCATCCCTGGTGTCGACATCACCTTTAAAAGGTCATTGTACATGAGACAAGCACTGTCAGTCCATAACTGTCCTGCATAGTTCCTGATATTCGCCCTGAATGTGGCAGACAAGGGAAAAAGTAGTGTCTTGTTTTGCGGGCATGGTCCTGGTGCTCCTGCTGGATGGGATGGTGCTGTCACAAGATGCCCACTTCCCCAGGACCACCAGTGATGCCATGACACCAGACGATGCCAGCTGATCTAAGGATGTCAGCCTAGTTAAAACAATCTCAGCATTTGAAGGAATGCCCATTATTGTGGAAAAGAAGTCAATGTGCTTCTCCACTCTGCCAGTATATGTGCTACCATTTTCTCTCCGATACCTCACACTCATTCTATCTCTGCTACTGTACCCACCTCACACCAAGCTCAACCATTCTCACTATTGCCTACAACATTTTCCACACATTTTCTCACCCACACCAAACTGTGACACCACCAACCCTGCGTGCACATTTGTTCAGGAAGCTCCCCGCTTGCACCAACAGTAACAGCTGTGCTACCCAATTTTATCCTCTGAAATGCCTGCCTCTCTCTCATTCCAGCAGCAAAACACCACACAATAGGACATAAAGAGTGAAAATTGGTGGTGTGCTGCCCGTCCTTTGGCTCCTCACCTCTTTTGAAGAGAGGATCCAACTCTGACTGTCCTGAGTAGGGCTGGACTGGTATAGGAGGTTGTGCTTGACTTACTGTGCTGGGATTCCCTGAGCAAATGTATTCCCACCTGAGTGGACCAAGGCCTGTTGTCAATTGTGCCAAGCTTCTTGGCTTTGTGTCTGCATTAAACAGCATGGCAAGACATCAATAATAGAAAGTAGAGAGATAGTAGGAACTGCAGATGCTGGAAAATCTGAGATAACAAGGTGGAGAGCTGGATGAACACAGCAGACCAAGCAGCATCAGAGGAGCAGGAAGGCTGACGTTTCGGGCTTAGACCCTTCTTCAGAAATGGGGGAGGGGAGGTGGGTTCTGAAATAAATAGGGAGAGAGGGGGAGGCGGATAGAAGATGGGTAGAGGAGAAGATGGGTGGAGAGGAGATAGACAGGTCAAAGGGGCGGGGATGGAGCCAGTAAAGGTGAGTGTAGGTGGGGAGGTAGGGAGGGGACAGGACAGTCCAGGGAAGACGGACAGGTCAAGGGGACGGGATGAGGTTAGTAGGTAGGAGATGGGGGTGGGGCTTGAGGTGGGAGGAGGGGATAGGTGGGAGGAAGGACAGGTTAGGGAGGCGGGGACAAGCTGGGCTGGTTTTGGGATGCGGTAGCGGGAGGGGAGATTTTGAAGCTTGTGAAGTCCACATTGATACCATTGGGCTGCAGGGTTCCCAAGCGGAATATGAGGTGCTGTTCCTGCAACTTTCGGGTGGCATCGTTGTGGCACTGCAGGAGGCCCAGGATGGACATGTCGTCTACACCTCCCCTCTCACCCCCATCCCAGGCCCCAAGAAGACTTTCCACATCAAGCAGATGTTCACCTGCACATCTGCTAATGTGGTATACTGTATCCGCTGTTCCCGTTGTGGCCTCCTCTACATCGGGGAAACCAAGTGGAGCTTCGGGGACCGCTTTGCAGAACACCTACACTCGGTTCGCACTAAACAACTGCACCTCCCAGTCGCAAACCATTTCAACTCCCCCTCCCATTCCTCAGACGACATGTCCATCCTGGGCCTCCTGCAGTGCCACAACGATGCCACCCGAAGGTTGCAGGAACAGCACCTCATATTCTGCTTGGGAACCCTGCAGCCCAATGGTATCAATGTGGACTTCACAAGCTTCAAAGTCTCCCCTCCCCCAACCGCATCCCAAAACCAGCCCAGCTTGTCCCCGCC